GTCCGCCACAATATCGAAGTAAGTGCAGAAGACCTCCACGGTGGCAAAGGCAGAGCAGGAGAGTGAGCTCCAACTCACAGAAGGTCCTTTGAGGACCATAACAGAGTAGTTGTGATTTTAAATGTTTCATTGAATCCAGTACGGAAGAAGGTAAGGAGTGAACTGTGTGGAAAGTGAGTGTGGTGTGCCAAGTCCGAAAACTCACGGGTGTGGTCCTCAAGGGAACGCTCACCCTGGTGCAGGAGGAGAAGCTGCATATCTGCTAGATCCTAAAGGTGAGATGGTGTGTAATGTTGAGGAAAAGCTGGGGAAAACAGAGCAGAGGCTAGGATCTATGAGCAGGGTTTTTAATGAGAAAATAAGAAACAAACAGTAGGCCGAAACAAGGAAAATAAAACTAGAGGTACAAATCCAAGACTGTCATAATTTCAGTTTTTTTATTTATTTAATTAATTTAATTGTATATACTGTAAGTGATTAAGTAGAATATTCTAGTATAGTCTACTATTTTTAGTACTATGTTCAGTATTTTCATCTACAATGTTTTTTTTAATCAATCATTTGTCAAACAAAACATCCAGATCTATTTTCATCTCCTGCTACTAAACATTAAAGCTGGTTCTTCAAGCACCTCCGGGTCTGAAAATGCCAGTGCAAAGATCTTTATATTAAAACATTTGAATCCTTAACTAGTATGGATTAAAACTATACTGTTGTTAATAATTCTGTTGTCTTCCAGTTTATCATTATAACTTTGCAGAAGCATTGACTTTTCATTGTGTTTGATATGTAAACAACATGGATATTGTATGAGAATTAGTTATTCATTTTCCAATTGTGATGTTGGGGGATGTCATTGCGTTGTATCTGTTTTCTTTCATCAGTTCAATATGAAGACCATATCACAGTGTAATGGAGGACTAAGGCTTATTGAGGTGACACAAGCAGACACTAGAGATTATGGATGTGAGGTGTCTGAAAATGGTGAAATATACTGGTTAAGACAGTAAAAACATAAAGGAATATTCCAGGATAAATCAGGGTTATTTTCTATGATAATTTGAAATAAAATAGTTCAACAAATTATTTAAACATAATAAATAAAAACTTCCTCCTCAGCCTAAAAACAAACTATCCTGCAACAACAGCTCATTCCAAAATGGTTAGATGTCTGTAATCAGAAAATCAAACATATTATACAGGTGCATCTCAAAAAATTAGAATATCGTGAAAAAGTAAATTTTTTTTGGTAACTTAATTAAAAAAGTGAAACTTTCATATATTCTAGATTCATTACATGTAAAGTAAAACATTTCAAATGTTTTTTTGTTTTAAAGGGTTAGTTCACCCAAAAATGAAAATTAGCCCATAAATTACTCACCTTCAAGTCATCCTAGGTGTATATGACTTTCTTCTTTCAGACGAATCCAGTCGGAGTTATATAAAAAATTGTCTTTGATCTTTCAAGCTGTTTCATGCCACTCAGCGTGTGTTGCATGCATCAGTCCAAAAGCAGTTAAATAAAAATTGCCCATCCATAAAAAAAAGTGTCTCACACGGCTCCGGGGGGTGAACAAAGGCCTTCTGTAGCGAATCGATGTGTTTTTGTAAGAAAAATATCCATATTCAAAACGTAATAATCACTTTAATCTAGCTTGCTCTCACTGTTGTACACGGAAGCAGCTCCGGGCGGATGACGTATGAGGTCAGTGCTGTGCATGCGCCGGTGAGTCTCATGAAAACCAACGTTTGTTAACAGGAGCAAAGGAAGCAAATTTTCCTTACTTTAGCAAAGGAAATCCAGTCTCCTCTTGGCTTATATCGAAATCCTTCGACATTCTTCTTTACAAATCCTCGTTTTGTACTTCTAATAAGTGACTGCTGTTTTGTTTCGATCTCTCCGCTGCACTTCCGCGTGCGTCACTTCTGAGCGGCGCATGCGCAAAGCCGACCTCCATACGTCATCCGCCCAGAACTGCTTCCAGTGTACAACAGTGAGCATGCATTTTAATTAAGTGCTTTTGGATTGATGCATGCAACACCTGCTGAGTGCCATGAAACAGCTTGAAAGATCAAAGACAATTTTTAATATAACTCCGACTGGATTCGTCTGAAAGAAGTCTGAAAGTCATATACACCTAGGACGACTTGAGGGTGAGTTCAAGTTCTTCAAAGTATGTTCATTTATGCACTCAATACTTGGTCGGGGCTCCTTTAGCACAAATTACAGCATCAGTGAGGTGTGGCATGGAAGCGATCAGCACTGCTGAGGCACTATTGAGCCTTCAGCTCGTCTGTATTGTTGGATCGACTGTTTCTCATCTTTTTCTTGAAAATATCCCATAGATTCCATATGGGGTTCAGGTCAGGCATGTTGGCTGGCCAATCAAGCATAGTAATATCATGGTCAGCAAACCACTTGGAGGTGGTTTTGGCGCTGTGGGCCAAGTCCTGCTGGACTTGCTCTGCATTTAATTTACTTTGGTACAGCACTCTGTGAACAGCCACACCTTTCAGTAATGACCTTCTGCGACTTACCCTCTTTGTGGAGGGTGTCAATGATTGTCTTCTGGACCATTGTCAAGTCAGTAGTCTTCCCCATTATTGTGGTTTCAAAGAACAAGAGATACCACAGAATTTATACTGTAGGGATGGTCATTTAATGAAACTCAAATGTAAATATTCATGAGCTGTGTGCTCAAATCATCAAAATTTAATTACATGTGAACACCCACATTTACATGAGGGAGGAGGAAGTAATGGGGTCTCATTTATAAAACTACGTAGATTTCATCCTAAAAGTGTATGTAGGCGCAAAAGCTGGATTTTGTGTACGCTCAAAAGTTTTCAGATTTATAAAACCATGCATACGCCAGAACCTGCGCAAAAATCCCTTTATAAATCCCAGTCAGGGGAAGATTGTGCATATGTGCATCTCCACCACGACTCCTCCCCGAAATCACCATATATGGAGCTTACAACGCCTAGTTTTACGATGCATAACCTCATCTGCATATCATTTCTATGCATATTCCCTTCCACATGGCACCATGTTTAACACTGTCAAAGGTACAAGACATTAAGGAAATATGAGATACGGACTATAAATGCCATTTGTGCCATACACATTAATTTTTATTGCTAAAAATAACCCGGTAGGCATGTCTTTGAATAAATATATCAAAATATCCATAAAAAACTGTTTAAAATAGTTCTCAGAAAATCATTTAGAATAGAGTTCATTCATTTCCACTGGCCCAATAATATTTCAGTTGGTTAAAAAAAAACATTCAAATCAAATTAAATTAATGCAGTTTTGCTGATAAGGTGAACATCTTTTAGCTATTTTTAGTGGATCTTACTTACCGTTTTCTTCAAGTTGTATCATAATGTTGTGGAGATGCCTTCACACGACATCAACACTTCTGTGCAGCTGTGGTTGTACAGTAAGCTATTATCAATTGTACTATTCAAACCGGACAATAGTCCGTTCCACAGAATCCAGCCGTGTCCGCCACAATATCGAAGTAAGTGCCCATCATTGATCATTGTTCTCGCTAAAAATATTTTCTCATAACATGAGATGTGCAGTTTACTTTAAAGATAAATTATTGTGCACTTATAGCACTCCTCGCTGTCATTAAAACATAACATACCACAGGAAAAGTAATCAAGTGCATCCACTACAAATAGGCTGTCTAAATTCATATAATTATGGTTTAACTTCTGCGTAATGACTTTATGTAATTTCAGTGCTTATATCCATTAATGAGAGTGGAATATTTAATGTAAATGTAGCCTATATGATGAAATGAAAACAGTTTAAAATGGTCGTTTACTTCATTACTTTTCTCTCTCCAGGAAAAATGTGAGTACGCATGGGTCAGAGTTTGCGTGCAGGTGCGCAAATTATCCCGTCAAGTTTGTTTTTTATAAATCCCACCTTTTGCGTATGAAGTGGCATACGCCTCTTTCAGGGCAGGTTTTGTGCGTACGCAACGGTTATAAATGAGGCCCCTGCCCTGAAGCTTTTATTATGTTTTGATAGCATATAACTAACAATAACAATAAGTTCCTCCTATAACACGAGATGGATGGAATGAATATTGTTCTTTCAGTGAATTGACATTTTGAGTTGAAAAATGGACTCAGTGGCAGTAAAGAAATGATGGGCTCCATTTCTGTATTAGCCTGTTCAACAAGTAAATAGTCAAGTGTCAGAACAATATGTTGCATTTAAAGAAAATCAATCCGTAAAAAAACCTACACATACATCTTTATAGTGTAGGCACAAAGACTAACCACATTTACATACGGTAATGTAAAAAAAAAAAAAAAAGCAAATCTAAAAAATTAAAAAGAACAATCAAATATACTTTTCTTTCATTTTCCAGCACCTGTGCATTTTTTCAAAACATTCACTGACAACTTAACTCATTTTCCAACTTCATTTTCTCTGGCTCCACAAGTTTTCCCCAAGAGATGTCATGCAAGACTCAGATAAATAATTTCATTTTCCATTCCTAGCATATTATGTGTTCTTTATGAGTTCCAGCTAAATTTTTCTCAGCTAAACACAGATGCAGGGACAAGATCAGTTTTATTCTATACTGTACTGCTATAAAACTCCATGGTTCATTGCACTAATTTGTAAAATTAGACCTTTAAAATGCGATATTGAAAATCATTTCAACAAAGTGCATTATGTTTTGACTATTAAATAATACATTACCAAAGTCTTATTTGACAAGACCCATAACTCTTCACTCTCCCCTGACAGGTTTGTTCCTGAAAATCTTATCATCTATCTTACTAAGTATGCATATATAATTCACAATAAGGATATATAAGCTACGGTTTGAACTCCCAAACCGGGTTTATTCTGAGAAGCAGTTCGTCTTTCTTGAACCTGTGTTTACGTTCATGACGTCACGCAGCGGGAGTGTCTTAATGTGGTGTGTTCAACCAATCGCACGCGGTCCAGGCAACACAGTATCACTTAGGAGGGCGTTTGGTTTCAACCTTTCAGCTTATCTTGACTCAGCTGAGCTTTGCGAGGGCATAGCAAATACACAACTCCCTAAATCTACTCGTAAGGTAATATAAAACCAGGCATTTTTCATTTATTTTTATCTTTAAAAAAAAAAAGCTATATTTTGGATGACTTTGGAGTATTTCAAAGTGGATATGTTGACCTTCGTCTTTGTGTGCCTCTCTATCTCAGTCACAGGTAGGAATCCATGTTTTCAGTGTTTGAATCATGTTTACATTTCATTTTTATTACGCCCTGTCATTGACTAATGTCTTCTGTGAAATATTCAATCTAAACTTTTAATTTAAAAAAACTTTTAATATATATATAAAAAACTGTTAGGCCTATATTGCTAAAACATTTCATCAGCGATTTCTCACATTTATTAAATTGTACATAAAGTGGAATTTAGCGTTTACATTAGAGTTTATTTAGGCTAGTAGGCATATAGGTCTGCAAAAAGAGAAAACAGTGGCAAATGTGGCCTTATTTGACCAGTTCCCTGTCGTTATTTTGAGTCGGTTCTTGTTGAGATGAATGATAATTCCGACTAACTACTTGAAGCCGAACCGGTTTTAACTTTAGTATGATCATATTCACATTCGTAAGCAATGACTCAAATGAATCAGTGAACCGAGTCAACTAAGAGCAGTTCGAAATAGGATTCGATACAGCGCTTCATGCGTAGCAAAATTGAGCATATCTGCTTTGCTACGGTACCTAATTATCCTAACTTAAGTTTTGTATTTAGGTCGAATAGAAACAGCATTTTAAATATAATTGTATTGCTGTTTAAATGTGAAAGAAGGCCTTTCACGGCTCGACGGCACCTGTCCTGGAGAACCTGTATTTCCACCTTGCCCATCCCCCATCCGAAACCCGAGCTCCACAAGCAGGAAATTGTGACCAACAAGAAAGAAAGAAACAATTAACAGTATAGCCACAGTATTTTAATAAGTTACAAGTGTTATATTTGTATTATTGAATATTATTAGTAGTCAACCAGTAACACTGAAACATCTAGGCTAATTCTTGATAGCATCAACTGCGCGCATACACACAACACAAGGCACACAAGGCTACTATTGAGCAGACAGAGAAACAATTGTGTCATCGTGAATTCAGAGTATTTGAGTATCGTGTTTGTTTATAGCTGGTTCCCTCAAGTACACATGGGAAAAACTGTTTCAGAATCGCAAATAGTCTGGAAAACTTAATAACGATGATTGAAGTAATTGGTAGAGCGACAAACAATGTTTGTCAATGAATGGGGATTCGTGGTATAGGCCTATTGGTTGTTTATCCGTTGTTCAGGCTAGCAGTTGGAAAAGCCATTGTAACTGCCCTAAAGTCATAACGTTTCTGGCTTTCATCTGTTGCAGCCTGTCTACATTTGTGGTAGAATAAAGGGGTTCAGTTTTTTTTTAATGAAACCGCACATTTTGCCTGTGTCACAGTTATTGTTTTAGCAAGGCTTTTTGAAATGGACGATGGAATTGTATAATAGACCTATAATTGTTTCTCTTCTTGGTCTTGGTGACCCAACATAAGTGCAAGCTTCTTCTTTGCTGACATGTTTGAAATTTCGAAAGTTATTTGAAAGGGGTACATTTTGAAAAGTTTTTCTTGTTTGAAAAGATCTAAAACGCATTTGATCTCAATCTGAAACATTTACAGTTGTGCCAACATGGCTAGGGTGTCCAATGGGTCTATAGAACACATTACAAGATTAGATTACATGGGATGTGTGTAAACCTACTTTAATATGGTTGAAGAGTAATAGTTTTCCTTTAATGCTGAAATGTTTATCATTTGCATAGTTTCACGAATTACGTTTCTTTTTTTGAGCTCTCTAAATGAACAGGGTTCTAGGTCATGTGTTGCATTAGATTGATTGTGTTTGTCCTGATGTTTCTGTTAGATAGAAAAATAAGTGGTCGGCCTAGATGAAGATGATGTCTGAGCATCATTCCACTCTGGATACAACTGTTAATGCAATTTGTAATGTTTTTAATGTGATTTTAAGAATAATTTTTTATTGATGTATTAAGGATTAAGTCCCTCTCTTTCTGTCTACAGGACTGCATGCCGCTTTTACGGTTTCTGTTGGTAATCCCGCAGTAAAAGTGAAAGAGAATGAGGGTAAGTTTCATTTTGCTTTTTCTGTTTGTTTGTCTTTAAATTATAATTATTTCTATGAGTCAGTAGGCAGCCATATTTAAATAATAAAGAAAACATAATGTAGTGGCTGCATAGGTTTTGAATAGTAATTGAAGAAGAAGAATTTGTGAGGTGTTACAATTTACTGGGGAGCCTCTCTCTACTTGCTGGCCTAAGGACAGGTCTGCCTATTTTGGGTGATCCTGGTTTAAGCATTCAATTTTTGATGTGAAAAACATTTATGCACAAAGTATAACTTTTTTTTTTAGGAGTTGACTTGAAATGTTCCTACACTGCTGACTTTGGGTCATCACCTAGAGTAGAATGGAAGTTCAAGGATCTCAAGGGCTCTCAAACATTGGTCTACTTTGATAACCAGCCAACTGGTATGGATAAAAACTTTACTGTTGTCATCCAGTTTATTGTTATAACCTTGCAGTAGCATTCTCTTATTGTTTGTTGATGTGTGATATGTGAATGGAGGAAAATATATAGCATTGTGCATTATTTTTTCTTTCATTAGGTAAGTATGCAGGCCGTATCACTGTGTATGATGGAGGACTGAGATTTAACAAGGTGACACGAGCAGACACCGGAGACTATGACTGTGAGGTGTCTGGCAATGGTGGATATGACGAGAAGACCATCAAACTCACAGTCCTTGGTAAATCATGTTGTATGATATACATGAAAACATACTATCTGAGAGCTGTCACTGATATACATGTCATCATAAATCACAACCCTAGCTTGTAAACAGCAAAAACTTCTGTCTCATCCTCATGTCGTTCCAAACCTATATACATTTATTTTTCTGTTGAACACAAGATATTTTGAAAAAGTCAGTGGGGTTTGGCGTTGTTTATATTTAACAATGGATAGCATAGAATATTGCTTTGATGAAATGATATAATACACCAAACAGTCTTGTAATTCCCTCCACTACAGTGCCTCCTTCCAAGCCTGTATCCAGAATCCCTTCATCAGTCACAACAGGCAGTAACGCCCGCCTGACCTGCTTCGACACAGATGGCTCCCCTCCATCCACCTACAGGTGGTACAAGGACAACACTCCCCTCCCTGAGGATCCAACCAAGTTCCCCAATTTTAAGAACCTCACCTACAAGATGAACATTTTCAGTGGTAACCTGGTGAGTGTTCATCTACAATATTAGAAAATACAGAATAGCAAGCATATATAATGAATGTGTGTGTATAAATTATGGAAGTTTGTATCTGCCAAATGATAATATAGACTAGCCTATTTATCTCACAATTCAGACATTTTTCTTGCATTTCAGAGTTTATATCTCACAAATCTGTCTTTTTTCCCCTCACAATTCTGATGAAAACTCACAATTACAAGATATAACAGGGTTTCTGCGGGTCTTAAAAAAGTCTTAAAAAGTCTTAAATGTAGTTGTATCAAATTTAAGGCCTTAAAAAGTATTCAATTGTACAAGAAAGTCTTAATTATGATTTCAAGAGGTCTTAAATTTGGGGATGGAAAGACCAAAATTGTGATATGGCCCAATGTGACAATTAAACTTCAAAAGGCTATGATTTCATTAAATAAACATGAGCGTTGCATGTTTGTGTACAGCTGTTACCGGGGAAACAGTTATAGTTCAGACCAATGCAAAAATCGACTCATGTTTTTACCCTGCAAACACGCAGAGCTTTAAATGTGAACTGGTGGATCGATAAGAAGACAATGCATTATAAAAAATCTAAACAGTATAGGGGTGTGCGATATGTATGGTCTGCGATAATATCATAATTGTTGTTTTAATGATGTGCGATTTGATATTATCGAGTATCTCGCGAAAAGCAAACAAAACACCTACAGAGTGCACGCATACATTACGTGATGAAGTCTAGGAGGTTAGACTAGTGCGCGTGTGCATTTATAGTGCATTCTTTCACTGCATTAATCAGTCTATTAAAATGCATTTAGAATTATCACATAATTCAAGATACCAGAAAATGTATATACTTATATCATTTCATATAGATAATATCACAGGAAGAGTGCCGTTTTTTTCTCCAAAAGTCAACATGATTACAAATGTGATACTGATTTTATTCAACAGTTCAATAAACAAGAAGTTAATATTAAGAGACTTACGTTTTAGACACCACATTCAACCGTGTAAATGATTCGGTTCAATCGCAATGACTCACTTAACAGTGACTGGTAGTTTTAATTTCACATTTAAGGTACCTTTTCATTTGAAAAATAATTTCAAACACCAGTTTTCAATGTTTTATGTTTAAGATATCAAAACATTATTTATGCATTTGTAACTGCAGGTATTCCATGTCCCTCTGAGCTGCATTAAACAGTGTGTAAATGCATCTAAATGCCACTTCTAATGCAGCTTCTGTGTTTCCTATGCGTTGCAAAGATCAATTTTGTTGATACTGATTTCATTTGCTTGGTAACAGCCCAAATGCAAGAATTTGACTCAAAAGATGGTGCACACTTTTAGAAAAAATGTCTTAAAGATAAAAATGGCCATAAAACTTGTAACTTGGAAATTATTCATTTCTATCACTGCTGTGAACTGACCACACAGAATATGAAGAATATCAAAAAATTCAGGAGTCAGCTGTTAGCACAATTAGAGATAAGATATCAGCACAATAACACACTCTATAGCAAAATATTGTCAAATTATATCTTTATCGATAAAATCCCAGAAAATTATCGAGATATAATATTTTGTCAATATCGCACACCCCTAATTTGTTATTTAATTTATATAATAATTTATTGATAATAATTGTTTAAATTAATATAATAATTCTTTTGACTACTTTTCTTAAAAATGGTTTAAAGGCTGAAATGTAAAGTTTATCATTTTATAAAATGTTTTGTTTTTGTGAAAACTTGTATCTGAACTGTAAATTATGCATTTTACAGTAATTTTACAGTTTAATATGGTACTATAGACATTGCAGGTCTTAGAAAGGTCTTAAATTTGAGCTTTAAAATCCTGCAGAAACCCTGTATAAACTCTATGAATTCTAAGAAGTCGGAATTGTGAGAATTAACATCTCGACATTCTTGAATTTTTTGACTTTGTCTTGCAATTCTGACTTTAGCAATGGAATTGCAAGAAAAAAAAGTCAGAATTAAGAGATGTAAACTCAGAACTGAAAAAAAAATTGAAGTAGAAAAAAAAGAATTTTAAGTTTATAACGCAATTCAGAGAAAAGTCGCTATTACTTTTTTTTTATTTTTATGTCCTGTGGTAGTAACAGGCTTCCATAATATATATTCACAACAAATGACTGGAACGTTTCAAAAATTCAGAACTATATATTTCTAGAATTTGAACTTGTCATTAGTTTGGTATTGTTTTGGAAGATTATAGATTATATTTGTAAAATGTATTTCTTTGTGTGATCAGGAGTTTGCGAGTGTGTCTAAGTTGGATACTGGTTCATATTTCTGTGAGGCCAGTAATGGAGAAGGCACCCCTCAGCGTGGAGATGCAGCGCGCATGGAAGTCCGTAAGTCAGGGTTCTTACACAATATGCAGTTTGATTTTTAGTATTTTAAGGGTCTGGATATGTATGGGAAAAAGAAAACGGAGTATGGAAAAAATTTTGTGTTTCCAGACTACTGCCCCTATTCTGTTGTCTTAAATATTCTGTGAAGGGCATTGATGGTTTCAGTTTGCCACATGTTTTTGAAGCGTTGACCACTGTAGCCAATCACAGACATGTCTGTTGAGTGCATGAACACAGTGTCCAATCAGATGAGTACTTAGAGAGAATCCACTCAATATTGTTTGAAGTACTGGAGTTTTTATTCAGCGCTACGGTACCAAGAATCAAGAAATTTTACTGGTGTTGGTACTGACTGCTGAAATTTTGTTACTGTGACAACACTAGTTTCTAGTATTCTGAGAGTATCAAATTGTGAATTCAGTATTATGAATTGAACCTTTAATCATTACACCCTTAATTTAATTTAATTTGTTTTTCATTATGAAATATGGTCTGATAAATCTACAGAGATGTCTGGAAAGGTGCAGAATTTTGAAATGAAAATGTGTTTCCCTGGTATGTAACATTTTCATTGCTTTCAAATAATAACTGTACTTACAGTTCACTGCATTATAAAACTTTACAAGGCTTCTTTGACATTGTCACATTTGATCAGGTGTACCTACTCAAGTTTTTAAAATACAGTTCAAATAACAAATAAAAATTCTTTGTAGGATAACAGATCTATTTACAGAAGTTTATTTAGTGGAATTCCCCATGTTTTGGGGAGTCCTTGAAGTTTGCTACTATATTTGGAAATTCAGTACTGTTGAAAAATGCTATCTTCACCTTTCTCAAGGCAGAGATGGTAGTCCCATACAGTAGAAGTCTGTCTGACAGCACACAAGAAACTCAATGAATAATTCTTGATGCTGTAGATTTGGTCAAGTTATTTTCTTTCTTGGAAATCATAACTTATTGGTTAGTAGGGTGCTAAAATAAAGGCCTGTTCCAGGGTTTCCAAGGGTCCTTAAAAAGACTTAAATTTAGTTGTATCAAATTTAAGGCCATAAGTCTTAAACAGTACAATAAAAGTCTTACTCATAATTTCAAGAAGACTTAAATTTAGGGACGCACAAGAATCACGATATGGACAGATGAAGGGAACCGAGTTCATTTTAGTGTTAGTGAGGCCAGCAGGGGGTGCTCACCCTGCGGTCTGTGTTGGTCCTAATTCCCCAGTATAGTGACGGGGACACTATACTGTAAAAAAAACCACCGTCCTTCAGATGAGACGTTAAACTGAGGTCCTGACTCTCTGTTGTCATAAACCCTAAACTTCTCGTAAAGATTAGGGGTGTAACCCCGGTGTCCTGGCCAAATTCACTCCACTGGCCTTTGTCAATCATGGCCTCCTAATAATCCCATCCAATGAATTGACTCTATCACTCTCTCTCCTCTCCACCTGTAGCTGGTGAGCGCACTGGCGCTTTTGTACTGTGGCTGCTATCGCATCATCCAGGTGGATGTTGCACACTGTTGCACACTGGTGGTGGTTAAGGAGAGACCCCTCATATGATTGTAAAGCTTTGGGTGTACAGCAATACACAATATAGCGCTATTTAAATGCCTCATTCATTCATTTTAAATTTCATCTTGTTTGTAATGCCTGAAAGCGTTCATGAGTGCAGCGGTTACAGGGGAAAGCGCTTTACATCTGCATTCCAAAAGTGCCACCTACTGGAAGGGAATGAATTAGCATTTTCAATAAAGCCATCTGCTCTTTTTGTTTAGACCAATGTGATAATTGACCAAATTTTTGTTTTCCACTGCAATCACTCAGTTGTAAATGTGAACCGTTAAACAGGCTAATATGGCTTAGTAAGACAGTAAGATATAATTGCATGTTTTAAATATAATAATTGATCCTTTTGACTCATCCAATTAAAAAAAATTAGTTTTTGTGAAAACCTGTATTTGAACTGTAAATCATATTTTTACAGTCATTGTTTGGTTACATATGTTACCAAAGATAGTGCCCTATCCCACTCATACGGTGTCTTAAAAAAGGTTGTAAAAAGCCTAAAATTGGATTTTAAAAATCCTGCAGAATACATTGTGTTCACGCCAAGGACAAAAACTATAGCTATAAATAGCTGTAACTATAAAGTTGTAATAATCATTCTAATTCTATGAAAATACACATGACAGAAATCACTTTAAGATTTTTTCCCCAGGTGAGGAACGATAAGATCATTGACAGCCAATAAAAATCACTCGAGAATTTAAAGCAGCAGACAACATAACTGCAGTGCATGCTGCTTAGCTTACAATAAACAACATTATCGTATACTTGTATGAATGCTTATGTATTTATCTTTAGACTTGGTGCAAACAAGCCTTAAATCCCACTCTTTGGCTTGGCTTGAAAATTCTCAATTATTCAAAAAGCAACATTTTTGACTTTCTAAAGAGAGAGAATCAAGTATGATTTTTTAATATTTCTGGTATTTACTTCTCTAACAGATGTCTTGATTTACTTCATTTTGATGTTTTTCTTTGTTATAGATGATCTAAATGTTGGAGGCATTGTTGCGGGGGTTATTGTGGCTTTGCTGGCAGTCGGATTGCTCCTCTTTGGTCTCTGGTTTGCCAGTAAAAAGGGATATCTGCCAAGTAAGTTCTCACTGCATAAGTGTGTGTGTTTGAGAGAGAGAGAGATAGGTTAACTATAATAATTAGAAATTCAAAATGATTGATTTATTTGCTTATGTTTTTTTTTTCACAGAAAAAGCAGAAAGGTATGAGTTGTTTTTCTTATCTGTGGCACATATAATCTCATTTCTGACATATTATACTATAAAAAAATTTCTATAATGTAATAAATATATATAAATCTCTTGCAGCAAGCCAAAACAAGCTGTTTATACACAGCCCAGAACAGATGATATGGATGATGAGGATGTAAGTACAACATATCTTGCTCAGTTGTGTAAATGATATTGATCAGGATTTTTCTTTTCAATAGTTAATTTTGAATGTCCTTTTCTAATTGTAACCTTTTCTACCAACAGAGGTAGTGGTAATGCTAAAATAATTATATTTTCACTGTTTTGTGTGTCTGTTTCAGGGGGAATTCAGACAGAAATCATCTTTTGTTGTGTAGTGTGTGCTACTCTGCATGAAATGTGGAGATTCAATGCCTAGATCAATTTTTTTCTGTTTAAGAAGTTCATACAAATCAGGATCAGTGTGTATGTGATGAGAAATGCCTTTCTACTTGGCTTTCCAAGCTGGTTGACCATAGAAATATTCAAAAGCTTTAAAGCAGCCATTGTAAATGTGCAGATTGCAGATTGAGTTTTAGGAATCTAAACCTGTGTCTCGGTTTTGTAGAAATGAATAGAAATGTAATTTATTGAACTATGATTAATCTGTGAGTGGAACACAAACCTAAAGGGTCTAAGATCAATTCTCTATTAATAGAATATGCTTTGTTGTTTTGTTTAGTTATGTGTGGACTAAGATGTCCAATGCTATTTTTACATAACTCTGCACTATGAGATGGAAACTTCTTGGGGAAGAGAAGCTAGGCTACTATGAATGTTCACCATTCAGGATATAATGTCCCCTCTCCTTTATATAAACATTTGCTGTACATTGTAGTCATTGATATGTGGTTTGTTTACTTCACTGGCTTTTTTATGATAGAGTACCTTGTGTGTTTTTATGTGTTTATACCTTTTATGTAATGTAAATAGATCTTTCTGTCTTTTTATTAGATTTTTTAAGATTTGAAATCGTGCTTTATTGACCTCTGAATTATTCATCTGAGAACAAATGACAAAACCCCTTTTTTTTCCTTTTATTTGATTGCATTTTTAATGTGTGACTTGATCCCATTCTTCTAATAAATGAAATTTACTGAATATGACATAAGGAATATATAAGATGTTGACATTCCTCTGGTTTTCTGTGTTTCATGCAGAAAACCGCTTGTGAACATTAAATTAAGCAATGTTATTTGTGGTTGTCTCAGATGAACAATATGACTGATTCTGGGAAATATCACTTCTCCATCATGTAGGATGACATTAGGAATTAGTGTATTTATTTTTTAACGTGTCTAAAAAATGTGAGGCGATCTACAATGTTCTGAATATGACCGCTAGGCGGCAGTGTTGGATAACAATACATTTTGCATAGCTTTCAACCCTGTTGAAATCAACTTGAAATTGTCATTAAATAAATTGTTTTGATTGCATTGATGATTTTAATAGGCTGATTTTTCCCATAAAAGATGTAGATAATTACATTTGAAGTGTGCAATTCCAGTGCCACCAGGTCGGGAAAAATAGTTGGTTTCAGACAGGTTTTTTTTGCTCTTTGCCACAAAACCCTAAACAACTACTCAGTTTAATTGTCCCAGTATTAATATTAGTATTACAACTAAATATGACAAACCCTCACAAAAAGGCTCACAGAAAAATGTTTAATACAGTAGAATAATGCAGTAACTATCAGAAAATAAAGAGCATGTCAGCTGTACTACATACAAGGCAGCTTTGATTACAGTTCATTCACCGATTTACAGAATGTATGATTTTTCAAGATTTGATTTGGATCTCTTTTTGGGGGCTGGCCACATACAGCCCCCTCACTTTTTTTTTTTTTTTTTTATGTAAGCGCTTATCCTACAGGCTCCACATGATGCGGTCTACGTTCTACCTGCGCGCCGTTACATAAGAGCATTCTAATGAACGTGAGCAGACGTCACTGACGATGATGATGCTTCTCACTGAACTGCGCTGTCTTGCCGTTAGACGCTATTGGGCTCAACTTCACCTTTCAAAACTGCGACTTTAAGAGTTTGGGGCGGGGCCTGGCGGACTCCGGCTGCTGATAGGCTACTACCGCTTTCAATCAAGCCCCATTCATAAATAAGTCATGTCTAGGAGGAACCAATGTAAGAAGTATTGATAGATTTCGCTCGCGACGCTCCCGCTACAGCATTTCTAACAATACCCCGAGCCGCGCGTGGCTCCGCCGAATGATATTTCCTCCCGTGGCGAATTGATAGCGGTGTTTGTCGATACGCGGAGCAAATGAGATTGACTTCCGACTGGTGACCCCTTTCTCAAACTGTAATGACATGAGCGCTCCAGCAGGAAGCTCAAAGCATTTTGTGTTTAGAAACACCGTAGCGCGTCCGCCAAGACTTCTGTCTGTCCGACTGTGGGGAATAATGGAGCGTTTTTGAACCAGCCTTTAACGCAGATAATGTAGCGTTCGATCCGATGTATTAAATGTGTGTCGTGTCCGTTCATTTGGACGCATCAAAAGAAAGCAAATCGCTGTTCTGAAGCCAAATGGAAAGCTGAACCATGGCAGCAAAAGAGGACCTATATGCCAAAGTCGCTCCACGGATGCAGCGGCAGAACCGGCCAGGAACTGTCAAACATGGAAACAGTCTGGATGTTTTGCTGTCAATGGGCTTCCCTAAAACCAGGGCGTAAGTACCAGAGTTTCATCTCTCCCAGATCTCAGGCATCACACAGCTGTAAACGTTAAGTACACAAACGCATGTGATAAGAGCACTGCCAAACCCTTTGGAAGTTCGGCAGATGTTTAAAATATTTAGCCTAGTGCAAGTTGCTTTTCTAATGGCGTCGGTCTGGTTGTGTTATTGATTAATAACGTGACGAAATGGGCTCAATCGCCAATGGGTTACTGAGTGTAAAGTTCTTTTCCTTTTGCCTCATTCTAAACTCGTCTTACATGTTCTGGGCTGCATCTGTCCAGACAGGACATGTTCTGCTACCAGCGCTTCCTCGAGCGGATGAGGTTGGCAGAGCTGGGAGGTCAGAGCAGAGAGCACCGCCGTCCATCGTTTTGGCGTTGTGTCAGCGCATCCATAATTGCTGCCTGTTATTCTTTTACAGCTATTTTCCTGGCATCATGGCACTTGAACATGCAATCGTAATGAATCTAACAATCCGATTCTATGAGCGATTGCTTAGTCCTTTTAGCAAATCAGAATTAAATGTAGTGCAGTTCTAGCAGATGGTGTGTTTGCACAGACTTTGAATTGCTTTTTCACAGAGCTGTTGTTTGGCTCACATGCGATCTAATAATTGGTCCTAACTGTTATATAACATTTCTAAACAAGCAAAACTTAAAATAACATGGTGACACACAACAAGGCCCATAACATTAGTCAATAACTAAAATTAATTAACAAAAGCAATTCATTTGTTACAGTATTGATATATTTTTTTAACGTGCTAATAAAATCCAGCTGTTTTTTGTTAGTTCAGGTATAATAAACAATGTTAAAAGATACAACTTTTGACACTAATAATGTATTAGTACGTTTAGGCAATTTTATTTATATAGCACATTTCATACATAAGTGTATTTCAAAGTGCTTTACATAAAAAGGAATTAATATAGTCATAAAATTATATTCTGTTATAATTATTACAATTATAAAATAGATGCATAAGAAAGATTCAAATGTAGTAAATGTTGAAATGAACTAAGTTTAATAAGTGCTTTAAAATAATTTTTCATTGTTAGTTCATGTTGACACATTTTTGCTAATTAACCACATTTGGAACCTTATTGGACCTCAAGTGAACCTTTGTGTTGAAACTACCATAGGTCACAACAAAAGCCTTAAAAGTGTAGTGATTTTTTTTGCTAATAAAAAATAGAACTGTTGAGAAACATCATGATTTACACTCGCATAGAAATCAGTCTTCTAGATAGTTTTATTGGATGTGGAGCGGGTCGCTCGCTAATGGGTGCCACCATTACATTACATGACCTACCTTCTCATGTAGTTGACAGTTGACTATTACTAATAGTAACAATAATAATATACTTATAGCACTATGAGCAGCTGCTCAAGATCGAGCTGTCTGCCCGTAAACAAAAACAAACTGAATGAACTTTTAAACACAGCATAATAGTAACAGTTCATGGTTCAGTTTCATTGAGTCAAATCAATTCAGTAACCACTCTGACTGATTCATATGTGAAAGTAAAAAGAACCAGTCCTTTGTTCGGGAAATGTACCACACTTGGTGTGCTGTGTTGTTTGTGTTGATATGGTAAGCATTGGAGAGCCACAGAATAGCGATATAGGAAACACAGACTTTTTTTGGTGTTTCAGTACACTATTGGCATAAGAATGCACAGTATGCTAGTCATTGGGCTCCAGTAATATTTTTTAATGGAAGTGGTTCGGAAAGACATCAATACAATTAATACAATTCAGCTCTTTACAAAAAGTGATGTCATTCCATATGTGGCACCATACCTCTTCTCGATACAGTGAGTGTCTTGATTTAGAAGTTGCCAAAGCTGACCATCTGTGCTTTCCATCACTGGAGGAGGATGGTTGGAGTAAGGTATCTTCAACCAACCATGAAGGCTGCATTAGGTTGCTGTCAGTGAGGAGCTAGATTCTCATTCATCAAAATTACAGTTCATCTCTTCCTCTTTTAACCACACACATTTTCTCTCTCCTGTTCTCGCTCGGTCCCTCTCTCATGTATTTACATTTAGCTTGGGCTTAATCCTGCAGTTTCCATAATCTGTGCGGAATCCTCCTTGCCTCTGTGTTCTTACGGTGTTGTGTCGAGATTGGGATCGTTCAGGCCAAATGTTGCATTCATGTTTAATCCAAGGAGAGTGAACAAAGGTGAATGGGACGAGATGTCTTTTATTGTGTGTTGTGGATGAATCTCAGGTTTGATGCAGACCAAATCTTTGTCCCTGTGGAGACTGTTTGTGAATGTATGCGGTCATTGGATTAAGCTGGTCGTTGCACTTAACATGAGAATTCTAAACATTTGGCCAAATATTTGTCATTTGCTGACATTGGAAGCAGTGGTATGCTAGATTTCTAGCCTTCTATGGTTAGTCTGTCTACTTCTGACAGCATTTAAGAGTTTGCTTAAGTGTTAGATATCAAGTAATATGTATATGGGTGGTTGGCATAACATGCTTTTGAATGTGATGAGTGTCATATATATATATATATATATATATATATATATATATATA